TGATGCATGCAACGGTTTCAGCCTGATATGCGCACCGCTGAGAGTCTGGTATGAAAGACTTCACCACCAGCGTGTGCTATAACAGTGACCTGTTGGAGACTTCGAAGCAAACCGTTGCAATCTGCCAAAGTGGCATTCAAAGTGAGGGTGATGCCACTCTTTAAGGTTAATTGGTAACTGAAGTTTCATCCGCACAATCACCCTGTGCATAGAATACTATACGACTGAAACCGAACTGTGAACGACGACTCAAAATTGTAGTTCGATAAACATATCTCTTAATATCATCGCAGTAGGATACTGCAGTACTCGGTTGGTGCGTAGTTTTGAAAATGATGAGTGGTTCATGAATTAATTACGACACAAACAACTTTTGCTAACCTAGGTGTGACAAGCGTTGTATTTTCGTTCTAAGCGTACTGAAGGGTAAGGACAAATATACAAGTCAGACACACAGATTACTTTGGCGATGGGAAGTCGTACAGCATGACGCTGAAGTAGTCGAAGTACGGCACCAGCTGGCGGTAATGCTGTGGCGTAAAATACTGCGATACGACGTTGCTAAAACGATATGACCTTCACCAAATTACGAAACAGCAGATGCAAACTATTCGTTTAATGATGCCGGAACTACTAAAACCGATAGCATGTGCCTCGACTTCAACTGCTCAGCAATGTTCCACAACATCATCAGCACGCTCCTAAAAATATATATCACGTGAGTTCATCCAGTAGGCCAAATATGAGTTTTCTTCATAGTTCCGTCTAATGATCATTTGTCTGATTTAACTTATTGGATAACAAACATTTAACCTGGTACTACAGAATTACTAACAGACTGCGAGCTTTTGGTACCATCACTAAAAATGACAATCTGTTGTCATTTTTCTATATTCGCAAGGCGTAGTAGGATCGTTCACTTGCTTTTAATAGCCAAAAGGACCGTTTCAGCAGACCATGGCTCCAACATATTTTAGCACATGCGGCGTATGGGCACAAGAACGCAATACTATTTATTGAATAATTTTTGAACATTTTCTTTTATCTATGTCAAAAAGCACGATTTTTAGCGATATTATCTGAAACTTTCAACCGAGTATTACTTGTCGCAATCTCACCAGTCCTAGGGGAAGGTCTGTGCGTACCATACTATTTAGATTCTACGCCAAGCATCGCATGGCATACACTTATGATATAAGTGGGACAGTCAGCGGTTGAAGGACTATAGGTGTTTGACAGATTCTGAAGAGCTTCTCCTAAGCAGCTGCAGTCCAGCCCATAAGGTCTAATTCCATGTTAGATGCAACTGAGCGGTGAATTCAGCGACGTATTTTTGTCGTAGGAGTGACGACTCAGCGACATTATGTTTGCGCCTAAGGTTTTGTCACACCGGAAGATTTTGATCCTAAAGCGCAGACGTGACGTCTTGTAATTCTATTGCATACAGAACCTTCCTGTGGATCAGTTTACATTCCAGTGAACCACTGAAATACTGTACAGGCACCTTGTTGGAAAGTGCAATGATGAAATTTATGAGTTTTCTGCAGGATTTCTGTCTCTAAGCCATAAAAACCGACATAATTTGCAGCGCTTGCATAAGTAATAAGTATGAATGCTGGATGCTGATGAGAATACTAGAGAAAAAAAGGAAACTCATCCTGAAGGCTTGAAATATTTCTAAAAATTTTCCAAGTCTCACTAAAACGAGATTACAACAGGGAAACCAGACAAACTCTCATTTCGCGAAGAGACGATCCTGCAGATGACTCGCAAAAAGCAATATGACTGTAGACCGATAATGTGGCTTAAAAGACCCAACTAATGCACTGGCACATGGTGTAGTGGCATAACTGAATCTGCTATCCACATGAATTAACTTCAGTCTGAAATCTCAATAACGAAGGTACGTCTGAAGCACTATAGAAGTTATGACATCGACTACCGTTTCATCAAAACAGACAAGCGACCAATCCCTGAGCCATTCTGACAGTTGCTTCATACCCATGGCAGCTGGTATCCGTTTGGACCACTGCACTTAGAGAATAAGCCGGCATTTCCGGCTAGGTTTACAATAGTTTTGTGTCCTTGAACTGAAAGGGATAACTGAAGGCAATATACCAAGCCAAAAAACATGCCGCGTTGAATGTAATAATTTTGCTTTGGTCCTAAAATCTGATTTTCTACACTTCGAAAAGTTTCACGGAATTTGCCGTGCCGATTAAGCGCTAACCTCCATTTCTGGATCGCATACACCGTCTTTAGCCACGAATGAGTTGACACACCAACTGGTAGATCGCTTGTATTCTCGTACTGTTTCACAAATTCTTACAGCCATCATCAACGACGGCTGCTTGCATGGCAAAATCTGCTCTTCTTAGGTCAAACAACAGTGTTATTCTACAACCGTTCCGTAAACACACTTGATGAGTGAGTGCAGGCATCATAAGGAGCCACACATTAGAACCTGGCGATGAATGCAATCATGCCATAACTTATCGAACTATTCAACACCACCTATTATTGTGAAACAGGCTATAAAACACCGTCTTTTGTTTTGTCGAAATGCTCAGCAGAAAATCCATGGGAAGGCGACGGCATGAATGTAAGCGGCGATAAGATGCCGGCGCTAAGCGGAACGATCGTGGAAAGGTGAGGACCAAATGCGGTTCGCATAAATTGAACGGAAAGGGGCGGATTGGTTCTCGTCACGGGATGAGGAAAATATAAAAAGGGCCAGTACGAACGGAGAGAGATATGTACTGTCTTCGGGTACGTTGTTGCGTATAATAAAAGTAGTCATACCTGAAGGTGGTGCCTGATTATCTTCACATGGCAACACATCTACGTTGTGCTGAGGGCGAGGTCTCCAGACCCACAAGATCCTCTCGGAGGTTCATTACAATTATCATCAACCTTTCTCACTTCACTGCTGGATGAAGGCATCTCCAAGACATTGAGAGAAACTTGTCTTCTGCCACTTTTATCCGCCTTGACGCAGCGAACGTTCTCAGCTCATCCTTCCATCGATAAGCAAGTCTTCCCACGGGCCGTTCACTCTCTTGGAATTCAGTCTAAGGTCTCTCCTGAATGACGATGGACGATTCTTCTTGCAATGTATTCAGCTAGTTGCCGCCTCAGCTTTTTCACTCGTTCAGTGACACTACAGACTCTTATCCATTCATTCATCTTCCTAATTTTTGTTGTCATTCATCTTCCCCATCTTTCCATGCTGCGTTAAGCTGTCTGCAGTTTATGAATAGCTTTCAAGCTAAGGATCGACGTTTCGGACTCACACGTTAGGATTGAGGGCAAATAATGATCGAAAAATTTCCGTTTCAAACACAAGCGCAGTTTCCCGGATGAAAATGCATTGCACAAAAGTCATTTGTACTCTTCTACTGATTTTACACAATCGCTTTCTTCGTTACAAAAATGAGCGGTCCCAAATTGACGTAGTTTTGCGCCTACTCAAGTCTAAGTTGACCGACTTCAACTGGTCTTGGGTTACACATTTCTTAAGCATGACCACTGTCATCCTCGAGTGTATTTATCAGTTCTACTTTGATGCTGATATCGTCCAGCTTTTGGATTCTTCTTACAAACTCTTGTGATGACCTTGAGAGAATCATAAGTGACTTAAGTAGTGCCCATTTACGCTCATCACCTGATTTTCATAACGAAGTATCTTAAAAGATTGTTCTAAAGCTGCTGTGGATAACTTCAGTGATATTACGTCACCTGAAGGACGCCCTTCTCGATTATGAATTTTCTTGTACTTTCACGATACTTCACACTAGCAGTTGCATTCTGGTAAATTTCGGCGAGAGGTCCCTGCATCTTTTCTCGATTTCCTGGATCCTCAAAGAATCCAGTACTGAAAAGATACAAACTGAGTCGAAAGCTTTCTCGAAATCGACTGCACTTAGGCACAGAGGAAGTTGGTATTCGTTGTTTGTCTGAATTACCTGCTGTCCAACTGAAGCTGATCCACCGTACTAGATTTACTTGCGAATCCTGCTTGTCATCTATGTTCTGTCATAATACAAGGCTTGTGTGCACCCTTTGCATTCATATTCAGTCACCTTTGTCTTGCCTTACACAGACATGACTGCATAACTTGAAGCAACACAAATCGTCACTACTACTCAGAATACTGCATTATCTACAATGAACGAGCATTAAGCGCAACTATAATCGAAATATCCGTCACCGTCACATGTAATACTTTGTAGTTTCTCCGAACAGCATCCAGTGTATCTGAAAAATGCCTTCGATCACCGCTCCGTCGAACCTGTTCCTCTAGTGAAAGAACACCAGTCAGCAATCAGTGTGACGTGAACTCGTCCACACACCTGCATAAAGTCGAGTACAGAAGTGATGCAACGATTTTGAAAGTTTTCATCCGACAAAAGTATCCTAAAGTTGCTAAAGTCCCACTTTTCGAACACGAAGCGAGGCACAATCTTTATTAAAGAGTTGTTTCTCCTTATGTCTGATATCCAACCTGAAAACAGGTAGAAACTACGTACGCAGTGTGAGGCCCACACAACGTGAAATGAGTACCTTGGTCGAGATCATGCACGCCATTTATTTGACACCCGTTGGGTGAGCTGACCACTTGGAACCACACAGGAGAGATGAGGTCGAACTTATGCGCCAATGATTTCGCAATGTCATAACCATGATTATTCCACTAAAAGAGCTAATGCCATAAAAGCTACCAAAACGACGGAGATGTAAATAATACAGTATTTTCTGACAGTTTAAAATAAGTCAAAGTGTAAAACTGCTTAAAGTGGTAGTTGGATAAATTCATCCAGAAAATGCAAAAAGTTGCAAAAAAGGCTCACGTAAACCTCAAAGGACACATCAAGTGGTATGAAATAGCTACTAAAAGCAAAACAAAAATTTTGAAACCAAGGAAATGTTCTTCATATGCTTTCTTGATGGAAGATATTTAGCGTACCTTCTTCCACTGAGTTTGACGCACTGAGCTCCGTTTCCATGCAATCAATCAGAACTGTTTCATGTTTGAAAACAATATCTATGCTACATGACAGCACAGCGAAGAATGTTCTGGCTAGATTCATATAATGCGACTCTCGCTAATATATTCAAAGGACGAAAGGTGAGTGACCAGGCGATCTTTCGGCTATGTCTGGTGATTTACTGAAAGAGTTACTCTGACCCATCATATCCGTCAATCAAGTATGAACAGGCAGGTGTTTCTCATCTGGTAAATCGTCTGACTCAGGACTGACAAGTTCGAGTACCGATCGGGTCACTTGATTTTCATCCTTCGAGTAGATCAATGAGTACCCATTTGTAAGAAAGGAAACAGGGAGCTACATGCCATACCTGTCACATAGCCGCAAACATTCTTTTAAGCAAGGCACTCCAAGCTGATGGCATTAAAGTGAAATTAGTTTACCAGGAGTTCCATTAAATAAAGGTGTCACGAATGGCACAATCATGGAAGTACAAAGAAAATCGAGAACTCAACGACTGCAAACTGTCCGTTATGTTCTTCAAGTAAGAATGTAGCATTCTGCCCTAGTTCTGGTACTTAGGGCAATCAACGCAATTCTGATACTTCAACGTGTTAGGAGGGCGACAACGGGTTCTCAAGACTATGTACAGTTTAGTCTACAGACTCTAACAGGTCCAACCATGCTCCGAAAACTTGAGAAACTCCCGGGGCCAAGTGTAATAAGCATTACACACCAACCTGTTTGGCCAAAGTGGAGAGTGATGGACACATCCACCAAAATAAAATCACAACGGAAACCGCGAATCTCATTTCTCCGAGGCCACGCTGCCACCGGCGAAGGCAGCCGTTACTCGGGCATGAAAGCAGAGGGTACTAAAATAGCCAGGCGGCGATCGGAACTGCTATAGTCCACTAACACTGGTAACGTACAATTGTACATAATTTCTACGTGAACCAAAGTTACAAAAGCAGGAAGAAAAACTTAAGAAAATAAAGCGGGGCATCGTAGGACTTGGTGAGAATAAAAAACGGAGGAGAGGCTGTTAGAGCTGAAAAGTAGACAAGTCCTGTTCCAAATAAGATCGGCAAATGGAAAAACAGGGGAAGTGGGATTCATTATCTACAGAAGATATTATCCACCAGCACAAGTTGTAAACGTAAATTTAAAAGTTTAAATCAAAGATCAAAGAACAATGTAGTACATGTGAATAGCACTTCAGAGACCCGTGCAAGACTGGTTCTAAGAGTTTCAAAGAGATACGGACTGCAAGTGATCGAAGTGTACGCGCCGACATCAAGCCGTTCTAACGAACAGATTGGAGATTTCTATGAACACAAAAGAATTACATGAACCGAGAAAAAGTCGTCACAAGTTCATGAGTGGCGATTTTACCGCCAGACGGACTAAAGCAAAGAAGCCCATTCCACGTGGGTCGATTATGTCACGGTGAAAAGAATTACATGGATGACCGACTAATGGATTTTGCTGAAAGGAGCAAGTTGCTGATCATGAACACCTATTTTCAAAGAAAACCAAGCAAAAAATGAACAGGGAAAGGCCTAAATGACGTCAAGAATGAAATAGACTTTATGTTCAATAACATGACGAATACGGTGCAGGACCTGTGGAACAGTTTCATTGCAGGAAGCGACCACAGGCTTGTCAGATGCAAAGTAGTCTGATCCCAGCACTGGAAAGAAGGAAACTGATGAGGACGAAACGCAACATACTCAACGAGGAAAATGCAAACAAGAATTTCCTGCTATTCAAACTAAAATTAAATAATCGATTCGACGCCCTTCATGGAATACAAGAAGAAACAACAGAAGCAATGGACATTAATGCAATGTATCAGGATACCTAGTGCGTCTAGCTACTGGCCACCTGGAGCGTATCCTGGGTGCGGATATGGGAAAGACTTTCAAATATGGAGGTTACCTGCGACATATATGCAGTGGCAAATATGAAGCGCCAAGACCACAAACGCTTCGCTAAGTTCGAGTTAGACAAGTTCAATTCTCAGAAAAAAGTAAAGTAGAATGCCCAATGAAAGTGTCATGCGAGGCGAAAACGACACGCCCTTCGAAGAACAACGGCCGTCAATGTCACCACTGTCATAAGGTTAAACGTCGCTGTGTCAAAGGACAAATACATGAGACAACTTCGATAATAAACCGGAAGGAATTTGGGACTCATCTGTATGAAATTTCCCAGGCCACTGTCAACTCTGCCAGCGAGTGGCACAAATGCATGCGCTATTACAACACGAATAGACTCAGCACCATGCGCGTCTTTCGACCTGTTATATAACGGAGTTCGATTGGTGAGAATACCAAGCGAAAAGCGCCATATACTAAACGGATCCTGATTTCCCTTGAACTTGAAGGGTGAACAGCTAAGTCATCTAAACTTCGCTGATGATGCGGTGTTATTTCCAAAAAACCAGGCAGCTACAAGACATGCTGTAAGAGCTCGACAGTGAAAGTTTAAAAGTCATACTTCGAAACAATCGGCCAAAGAAGAAGATACTGCGACGAGATGCCTTGCTGAAGAACCTGGTAGTAAGAAAAGGTGAAAAGATCGAGAAGTCGATAAAAACATTTACCTGGGCCAAGAAATCAATGTGCGGTATGAACAGGCTGGAGAGATTCAATGAAAAAAAGGGTCGATTGACGGGTATTCAATTCCATCTAGAGTGTTCTTCCCGGCAACATCAGGAAAGAAACCCGCACAAACCTCTTCAACGCTACAGTGTCAGCAATGCTGTATAGCTGAGATGATCATCCACTAAAGGGGAAGAACGCCAGCTATGTCATCGAGAGAGCCATGGAAGAAAGATCATTGAGAATTTTACGTCACAACCACATCTCAAACACGGTGATCGGACAGCGAGCGGTACCGAATGACGTTTACGTCGAAAGCAAAAATTAGATGCTACGGTGGGCCCGGCAGGTATTTCAGCTCACGGACGGGAGAGAGTTGGCGATGATCGTCGACTGGTATCCTCACGGAAAGATTTCTAATTTCTAATTTATATGCAGGTTTTGCTACATACAATACCTGTAGTATAGTGTATTACTATACTATATAGATTTTTCTATGCAGTTATCTACTGTATATTTTAGTTTTTTTGCTGCTGTCATTTAATTTTGCACATATTTGTCTTTTATCTGTGCAGAAGATGATTCTTTTGTAATCCAGCTGAAGCGGTAAATTTTCCAATTTCCAAACTTCGTATTTACGAGACCCGTCTTGGTCGCTGAGAGCGAAGGTGTGAACTTCATATCAGCAACCAGACAGGCTGAACTTGGAAGGAGCATGCTAGAAACTGCGAAGAATGGCAACGTTGCGACCGGCGAGATTTGCAACCAATTACTGGACGGTCGAAGTAATCTACATTATCAGGATATAAGGAAGGCAGTCACGCAAACAGTAAAAAGTGTTTCCGCTACAACAGCAGAGACCGACAGTAAAATTATGAAGAAAACGAAAGAACTCATGAATGAACGAAGAGAAATGAAGAGAGCAACAGTTCACAAATCAAAATTCGAATGCAGGGAACCCTGCAAAACCTTAAGGAAACGAATCAAAGATGTCGATCATTCAACTGCAGATTCGCACAGGAAACAATTGTAAAAAAGCGAGGCAGGAAAAAATTAAATCGATGACTGACGGTTGGAAAACGACAAATTTTACCTTTCAGATCTAAAGGCAAGACTCTGATCTGAGACGAACAGGAGAATCTAGTTGTAGAAGATGTTTGTTGGAAAATAGGACAAAGATAGAAACAAGAGCACCCAAAAAGACGATAAGAAACCTGAAGATACAATGATACAATTTCAGTTGACGAAATTCTAGATATCTTGTAAAAGTGTGATATGAAATAAAACAGTCAAACCGAGGAAGGGCTTCTGGGGTGGACGGGACAACTGTCGAACTCGTGGAATCACGAGGTGAAGCACTGGCCCGGACATCAGCATGCTTATTTTCACTCTGTCAGAAGGAAGTGGAAATTCTAGACAACTAGAGTATCGAATCAGTGATTCTACTCCACGAAAACAAGACGAACAGGGTTTGAAGAACGACAGGACTCTCAGAGTAGGTGGCGTGTCTTTCAAAGAAGCATCAAGCGGAAAGAGGTACTGGTTGGAACTTAAATTTCTTCCTTAATTATTCGAAATAAATAGGTATTCTAGCTAAACACGGAGGTGGATTACTTTATGCGAGAATTCAATTCAAAATTCGAGAATAACTTACATATAATAAATTTCATATGCGATCTAATTTCATAAAAGACTTGTGGTGTACTATTTTCATTTATAATTAAAATAAATAAAAGGATTGATGAGTGTGCGACCATTGTTTGATTCTGTGCAAGATTCGCAACGATTCTCCATCTTATGGTGCTGAACCACCTGACTAGTTTGGCGAACTAGTTCGCCCCTTTGGACGAGGCGCCTCATTGGTAGCGGATTAACGGTTCGGGTTCTGCGGCAGATGCAGGATTGTCAGGTTATTCAAAGATAAATATATAATCTTAAGTTATGGCATAGCTCACAATTCTGCCGTTTCTGAATTCCCTGTAGGATTAAACCCATCATATCTGCATCTCCTGAAGATATTTTTCGCTCGCTTCTTCGTAATGTAATGTGTGACATGCCTTAACTGCATAACCGTCGAAGCACGATTGGAATAATTCTTGAAAAACATTGTTAAATCATTAAATCATGCTGTGTCTTTCGTCAGGGATGACGGCCATCGAAACGAAATGATGTTACTGAAGTCGATTTGCAGCGTCAAGGCAAAAACGGGCTTGTGTAAGCATTTTAATAAGCGCAATTATCTGCATGTTGGATTCACAGTGCTATGACACTGCTTGCAAATCACCGTTGCCTAAGGGATAGTTACGCAAGTCGAGACGTGCACTTAAGACATAAAAGTAAGAAACATGATAAAATGGAAACGAAGAAATAAAGCAGAGAACAACGGCTGTAATCGACCAACCAAACAACGAAAAATGTGTTCCTAACACAAATTTCTGGACAAATCATTCATTCAAAGAATTAATTTTTAGCTTTATTAATTCTTTGAATGAATGATTTGTCCAGAAATTTGTGTTAGGAACACATTTTTCGTTGTTTGGTTGGT